ATAAGTACATGTATATACATCAGGAAATGTAATAAAATTAAGGAATTTTTACTTGCCAATTTTTGTCAAATTTTACAAAAATCCCTGTACTATTATAGTACAGGGACTTTTAACCAATTTTTGAGCAAATTTAAAAAATCATAAAAAATCCAAACTTGATCGAAATTTGCTCAATCTCTCTACACTGCATAAGTACATGTATATGCATCAGGAAATGCAACAAAATTGAGGAATTTTCTACTTGCCAATTTTTGTGAAATTTTACAAAAATATCTGTACAGGGACTTTTGTCCAAATTTTGGGCAACTTTAAAAAATCATTAAAAAATTCAAACTTGATCGGAATCAGCTCAATCTCTCTACACTGCATAAGTACACGTATATGCATCAGGAAATGTAACAAAATTGAGGAATTTTCTACTTGCCAATTTTTGTGAAATTTTTGAAAAATCCCTGTACTATAGTACAGGGACTTTTGTCCGATTTTTGAGCAACTTTAAAAAATCATAGAAAATCCAAATTCCATTGGAATCAGCTCAATCTCTCTACACTGCATAAGTACATGTATATGCATCAGAATATGTAATAAAATTAAGGAATTTTCTATTTGCCAATTTTTGTCAAATTTACAAAAATCCCTGTACTATAGTACAGGGACTTTTAACCAATTTCTGAGCAAATTTAAAAAATCATTAAAAATCCAAACTTGATTGGAATCTGCTCAATCTCTCAACACTGCATAAGTACATGTATATGCATCAGGAAATGTAATAAAATTGATGAATTTTCTACTTGTCAATTTTTGTAAAATTTTATAAAAATCCCTGTACTATAATACAGGGACTTTTGTCCGATTTTTGTGCAACATTAAAAAATCATAAAAAATCCAAACTTGATCAGAATCAGCTCAATCTCTTTACACTGCATAGGTACATGTATATGCATCAGGAAATGTAATAAAATTGAGGAATTTTGTAATTGTGAATTTTTGTGAAATTTTACAAAAATCCCTGTACTATAACAGGGACTTTTGTCTGATTTTTGAGCAAATTTAAAAAGTCATAGAAAATCCAAACTTGATCGAAAACAACTCAATCTCTCTACACTGCATAAGTACATGTATATGCATCAGGAAATGTAACAAAATTGAGGAATTTTCTACTTGCCAATTTTTGTGAAGTTTTACAAAAATCCCTGTACTATAGTACAGGGACTTTTGTCCAATTTTTGAGCAAATTAAAAAAATCATAGAAAATCCAAACTTGATCAGAATCAGCTCAATCTCTTTACACTGCATAAGTACATGTATATGCATCAGGTAATGTAACAAAATTGAGGAATTTTCTACTTGCCAATTTTTGTGAAATTTTTGAAAAATCCTTGTACTATTGTATAGGGACTTTTGTCCGACTTTGGAGCAACTTTAAAAAATCATAAAAAATCCAAACTTGATTGGAATCAGCTCAATCTCTCTACACAACATAAATACATTTATATTATGCATCAGAAAAAGTAATAAAATTGAGGAATTTTTTGGCCATTTTTCTAAAGATGGTATGTTACTTACAGTAAGTTGGCCCATTCCTTTACACAGAAGATCTGCGCATGTGCAGTAGACACCACTCAACCTTCTGCACAGGTAAAGAAGTATTGCAAAATATCCTGAAATCATTCATTAATAATTCATTATTTTGAGTAATAACGACACTTCTGCCATCATCGCACCTAATACATAGCTAAATAGTCATTGTTATTGTTATAATAAACTTGATACTACATTAAAATACAGGTAAAACAGTTTGCACACCACACAGTAATTAAACAACAGCTAAATATCTCAGTATATACAGTAATGTTGTCCAATTAAAAAGATATAATGAATATAAGCTGTCCTATTTTGGTAGAAGATGATCTGTCACTCATTAGTGTACATCAAAGTCCATCTCACTATAAATAGAACAGTAAAAACACTAATATACAGCAGTTAAAACAGTATTGTGCTGTATTTTAAACCGTACTTTACCTAATTCTACTCGTTCAGTAATACAGTAAAACTCATGCTTATGAGTTATACATACACCACATTATATACAGTATTGATCTATAGTGTACTTACAATTGTAATGGATGAGGTAAGCCTAGGACAGGCCAGGATTGTGTACAAGTCCCCAATGATAGTGAAAGACGGCCCGTCGCCCAAAGATATCAAGAAAGAAGGTCCTTTAATATTTAAAATCCCAGCAAGACTCAATTAGTTAACAAGAATAAATCTCCTTGCATCAGACATCTTCACTACTATGCAGAATGGGCCATAATCATTAACCACACCTACCAATTAACTCAGACCTCCTCAGCTCGAGCAGGTTTCAGGTTGGCCCATTCCTTTATACAGGGGGATCTGCGCATGCGCAGCAGATAATACTTGCCACACCCACCAATTAATTAACTCAGACCTCAGCTAGAGCAGCTTTCAGGTTGGCCCATTCCTTTATACAGGGGGATCTGCGCATGCGCAGCAGATAATACTTGCCACACCCACCAATTAATTAACTCAGACTTCCTCAGCTAGAGCAGCTTTCAGGTTGGCCGATTCCTTTATACAGAGGGATCTGCGCATGCGCAGCAGACAATAGTGGCCACACCCACCAACATTCAGAACATGCTAGCTGAGAATGTTGGTGGGTGTGACCAGTATTATAGAATAAAGATCCCAGTATTCTTTCTTCAAAGTTTCAGTGAGAATTGGTGTACCAAATACGAAACCAATACCATACTAAGGCCCAGCCAGAGTCAAGATTGTAGCAAGAATAAATCTACTGTAGACCTTTTATTGGAATTAATCTCACAGGAATCAGCTCATACTTCTACACTGCATAAGTACATGTATATGCATCAGGAAATGTGACAAAATTGAGGAATTTTCTACTTGCCAATTTTTGTGAAATTTTACAAAAATCCCTGTACTATAGTACAGGGACTTTTGTCCGATTTTTGAGCAACTTTAAAAAATCATAGAAAATCCATATTCTATCGGAATCAGCTCAAACTTTCTACACTGCATAAGTACATGTATATACATCAGGAAATGTAATAAAATTAAGGAATTTTTACTTGCCAATTTTTGTCAAATTTTACAAAAATCCCTGTACTATTATAGTACAGGGACTTTTAACCAATTTTTGAGCAAATTTAAAAAATCATAAAAAATCCAAACTTGATCGAAATTTGCTCAATCTCTCTACACTGCATAAGTACATGTATATGCATCAGGAAATGCAACAAA